GGCTGATAAACATTCCTCTCCCTGCTGCCCAAGGTCACTTTCTCCTTGTTTTCACCGGCTTAAGATTCCTTCCTGAGAGACTGGCTGTGCTCGCCACCTTCTCCCAGGCCACCTCCAGGTGCTAAACGGGAATTGGGCAGAGGGCTTAAGTGTCTGCCAAATCAAGGGGACAATCCTAGGCCATTTCGAAGGCTAGTGACCACTGGCCACAAACAGAACGTTCCAAGAATGGCTGGGGTTGAAGTGGGGATTGGGAAAAAAGGAGGCAAGGTGGACTGCTCTGGGCTTCTTAGGATAAGGAATATCTTACATTCCTGGGCAAGACGTTAGGACCCTGTGGGGTTGGTTTAGCACAGGGGCTGCAGGCAAATGATCTTAAGGAGTGAGGCAGGTCCAGGGTTGGAACGTACATCATGATGGGTCATAATGAACCGGACAGCAGGTGGTACCTCATCGAAATGGGGCAGCCCCCACTCACCATGGTTAAGTGGAGATGTAGGCTCACTGTCCCTTTCAACTTTTTTTTTTTTTTAAGATTTATTTATGTGACAGAGAGAGACACAGCGAGAGAGGGAACACAAGCAGGGGGAGTGGGAGAGGGAGAAGCAGGCTTCCCGCGGAGCAGGGAGCCCAATGCGGGGCTCTATCCCAGGACCTGGGATCATGACCTGAGCCGAAGGCAGACGCTTAATGACTGAGCCACCCAGGCGCCCCAGTCCCTTTCAACTTTTTAAGAGAAACTAGACATCCAAGTTTGGTGGAACATTTCCCCGGCGTTGACACATGGCACGGAACGCGGAGCACCCTCTGTGGGCAGGTTCAGCGCTCCGGCTGCCACTTCGCTTACCCCTAAGGGCAAGCCCTTCCCTCGTGAATCTTTCTCCCTCCACGGTGTGTCACCAGCTCCCAATTTAAAACAAAAAACAAAACAAAACAAACAAACCCCCCCCCCCAAAAAAACCCAACCAAACCATGTTGGAGATTAGTCTCAGCATTTTGAACCAATGGCTAGATGTTCACATGGAAAGGTTTTCCTGGAGAGTCCAGGGGCTTATATTCATTTCCCACTGTGTTGAAACAAATCACCACAAACTGAATGGCTTAAACAATGTGAATTTATTATCTTACAGTTTTGTAGATCAGAAGTCTGACATGGGTCTCATGGGGCTAAAATCAAGCCCTGTCTGCAGGGCTTTGTTCCCTTCTGGAGGATCAGAGGAGAATCCATTTTCTTGCCTTTTCCCAGCTTCTAGAAGCCGCCGGCATTCATTCCTTCCTGACCCAGCAATGGGGGTTCAGCCCCCACATCAAATCTCTCATCACAGCATCAAAAGGTTCTCTGCTTTTCAGGATTCATGTGATTGGGCCCCCCAGGCAATCCAGTGTTATTTCCTCATGCAAGGTCGTAGTTTAAAGGTTTTTTTGTTTTTTAATTTATTTAAGCAATCTCTGCACCCAGTGTGGGGCTCGAACTCATGACCCCGAGATCCAGAGTTGCATGCTCCACCCACGGAGCCAGCCAGGCATCCCACAAAGTTGTAGTTTAAATGCCTCTGCAAAATCCCTTTTGCCACATGAGGGAACATTTTTATAGGATCCAGGCATTAGGGTATGAACAGGGCTCTTCCCTAAACTTTTGAACCTTTTCTTCAAAAAAAGCTCTGGGGAGAGAAACCTATGATAAAAAGCTTTCTTTCTTTCTGTCTGTCTGTTTCCTTGTTTTATTATTTTTTAAAAGTCTTAATTCTGCATACAGTGTTATATTAGTTTCAGATGTACAATAGAGTGATTCAACAATTCTTTTTAAACAGATTCTTTTTTTTTTAAGATTTATTTATTTGAGAGAGAGAGAGAGAGAGAGAGACAGTGAGTACAAGGAGAAGCAGGCTCTCTGCTGAGCAGGGAGCCCGATGTGGGGCTCGATCCCTGGGCTCCGGGATCATGACCCGAAGGCGGATGCTGAACCGACTGAGCCACCCAGGCGCCCCTGATTCAACAATTCTGTACATCACCCAGTGTTCATCGTAAGTGCATTCGTAATCCCCATCACCCTATTTCACCCCTCCCCTCTGGTAACCATCAGTTGGGGTTTATCTTTCTTCATAACCAGACTCACTCTCCTCCACCCCCCGCCCCCCCCATCAGGCTTCCTTCTCTGTAAGAGATTATTCTAGCAGGGGACTTTCTGCGCCACCAGGCCCGGCCCGCTCCAGCCAGTGGAACGCTCAGTTGCCTTTCTGGCCCCGGTGCCATCTGCTACCTCGGGGCTCAGAAGCAGCCCTTCTCCCTTAGCTCCCCTCCCTGTGGAACTTCTCAGCTGGGATTACTTACAGGGTGAGGGACGGGGCCTCCCCGTCCCCAGGCGCCGCGAAGGCTCCGGGGCTTGCCGCCAAGGCTGGAGTCAACATCACGCAGGCTAGGGCTGGAGGCGGTGAGGGCAGGAGCAGAGCAGGACGACAAGACTGACGTGGGCTGCCATCCCCGAGGGGCAGGGCCCGGCCGGCTGGAAGCTCAGGCTGCATCTGACAAGAGCTCACTTAGTCCTGTCCGTCATCAAGTCCTTTGCTTGGGTTCAAATGGCCAACTGCTCCCATGAAGAGGATTAGGGAGTCTGGACTTTTAGCATCGGTTTTGGCAGGTGGGAGGAACACCAGCCTGTGACAGCTACCCGCCCCCACCCCCAGCCGCTTGGGAGGATAGCACTGATTCTGCATAATGACCAGGCTGTGCCCCCCAGCCCCCCACCTCTCTCCCTGGAACCATAGAGGTCCACAACACACACACACTCACAACCTTCAGTGGTGGAGTCAGGGATGAAAGGCATGGCAGCAGGATGATTTCACCAGGGTGAATCCCAGCACTTCCACTGGCCACTTGTGTGTCCTCCCGAAAATTATTTACCTCAGTTGCCCTGTTCTTAAGTAATGCCAATGACACCTTTCACGGGATTATCAGGAGGATTAAATGGGTTAATACCTTAATAATCTGTAAAGGCAGAAGACTGCCTCGGCAGAGCCGTCACATGGCTTTGTTAAATAATACAAATACGTACCCTGCTCTGAAGGATGATCTTTGGCCAAATCTACTTTAATAGCTTTACTTCTCTACTAGAAGTTAGAAATAAATTCTCAAGTGACTCAGCTTGAAACAATGCGAGGGGATTCGCATGAGGCACGTTCGGCCTGCACTCATACAGCTGTGTTTTCATTTATTTAAGCAATATCTCCACCCAACGTGGGGCTCGAACTCACCTCTCTGTGAGGATAATCTTTGGCCAAATTGGCGTTAGGAACCATACTTCTCTACTAGAAGTTAGAAGGTGCTGCAGGTTACATCAATAGTAACAGATATATGTACTAGACTAGAATGAAGGAGGTGCCAAGTCCACTGGTCAGGTCAACACTCAGTCCATCCAAGAGCCTGAGTTACTTCTGGGTTATTTGTACTTATTTTTAAGTCCTCCTGCTCATGGTTCTGATACGGGGTTGATGCATTTTAATTGGAATCCACATTCCTAATGAAGGCCTCACTCTACCCCTTAGATACTCTTGACCCTCAACAATACTAGAAATTTGACATCCTGGCGACCATGCTTTGCTTGAAGCACCGAGACCAGCATTGGCTGCCACAAGCAGAGAGATGCTACTGTTGGCAAGGCTGGGGAGGAAACTTGAAACATGACAAACGCAGACTCTTGGAAACAATCGAGCTGTTAGGCAGAAAGCAGGGGACACAGGAAAGCCAGGGGAGCTGGCTTCACACCACGGGAAGGGATGGGGCAAGAGAAAGAACGCTTATTAAATACTACTGTGCTCTGAGCACAGTATCGCATATCTAATTAAGCTCCCATCGCGACCCTATGGAAGAGGCGGAACTCTCCCACGTGACGAGGTGGGGAGGAGGCAAAGTGACCTGCCCAAAGGCTCTCATAGCCAGGAGGCTCAGGCTGGCAGATCTTTTGGCCTCATGTCACGACCACTGTAGCAGGACTGCATGATGCATGTGTGATACTAGATAGAGCTTTCTCATATTCAGAGCTGGTACAATGGTATGGAAGTTCTGTACCGGTTCCGTACCACCACTGAAGGTGTCCAAGGAGGTGTGTGATGGAGCTCATCAAAGATATTAAAAAGGTAATTTATTTATGCCTTGTTGGAGGGTGGAAGTGGGTCATCTAGGAAGGCACCTTCCAGCTTTGAGATTCTGAGTTTCTATACTTTGGGGTAAGATAGACTTTTAAGGCATATTAAGTGATTTCTTTTCCCTGTATTTTTCACTTTCTCTTCTGTCCCCTTCTCCTCTTCATGAAGATATTCTGTTCTGGGAACGCGTCTTTTTTAAAAGGGGGGATGTGGTGGCTGGCAGTTTGGGCAGCTGGGATAACAGAAAGACCGTACCACTCTCTCTGGTTGGTAAGTCTAAGTTTTTACTAAGTTTACTAAGGAGATTGCATTACATTCTAATGAGGCAAACCTGGAAAGATGACAAGAGGAAGCAATTACATCACCCTTCTTTCCCTCTCCTCCAATTCCTTGGTACTAGGCAAAGCCCAGACGCTCCTGAATGTAGGATTTAGGGCTGGGGTTGATTTAAGATTCACATTCTGCTATCCCATCACGATGGGGACTTGATATAGAAACTGGAATTTTTTTTGAAAATAAAGCGATATTTCGTCCACACCTGAGCTTGGGAACAGAGACCTATTTTAAGCCTGGTGGCGGACGTGCCTTCCCAGCAGCTACACAAAGGGGCTGTAAGCCTGAAGTTTTTGGTCCTCTGCTGCCCCTGTGTGGACATAGTGGGAAACAACACTTCAAGATCTCGCTTGTGGCCAGAGTAAAATTGGACTTGAGAGAAAGAACCGCCCCCTGAGAATCCCTGGAGGTTTATGACCACGATGAGGGAGTCAGGAACTGTTGCTATCCCCAGAAAGCTGGGGTTTTCCAGGAGAGAGGTGGGGAGCCCCTACAAGCTGTCAATGACTTCACCAGGATCTTGTCTTGTCCACCACCTTTATTTTTCCTCAAGACACCTGCAGCCAGTAAGCGAGCGATCATCTAAAGACTCCCAGGCATGCACCTCTGCAGCTTTTGGCCGCGACCAGCGCCCGCGGGCACAGCGCCAATCCTCCCACACCTCCTCTTCCTGCGCTTGGAGTAACAAGTCTGTGAGTGTCTCCCTCTGGTCTCACAGCTTTTCACACTCTCTCTTCACCGTCTGTCTCTACACCACCATCTACACAACATATCTACACCATCACATTCGTGCTTGCAGCATCCCTGACTCCCTGCACAGGCACAGGACAGGGGAAGATGGGGTATCTGGGCCTCCTCCCTCCAGCTGGGAGCCAGGGCCAAATGCACCTGGCCTGACCCCCTATCCTCTCCCTTCAGGCCTCCAGACCCTGCCGCAGCCTGCGGTCCAGGGCCAGGAGCTGTCGCAAGAAGCCCCGGTTGGGGATGATGCCTCGGTGGTCCTTGACTTTCTTGATGGCCTCCACGAGGGTGAGGTGGTGGTACAGCATGAGGTAGGCCAGTACCAGTGTGGCGGATCGGCTCACTCCCACGGCGCAGTGTACCAGGATCTTCCCTGCGAGGACAGACACACGAGGCGGCCGTGGGACTGTTTGTGGGGGGCTGGAGGCGGCTAGGGAGAGGGCATCGGGGCCAGGTGAAGAGGACGAGAGGGAAGCAGGTGCACACGGCGACAGGATGGGGTGCCGACTAGGGGTGGGAAGAATGCCGACCCCTGGGAGGCCTGGACGGGATAAGATGGACAACGTGCAGGAGCTCAGCGTCCAGGAGCCTGAAAAGGGCTCCCAGGGAGACAGACGCACATCACTAACGTAAAACTGAGTCTCGCACAGAGTGAGGATCCGGGGGTCTGTTGAGTGTTCCCCAGTGCCTTAGCATCTGCGCTCTGTTAACACTTTGGATTATTTCCTTCTCTTCTTCTCACGCACTGCCTTTAACAAATAGTTGGGAGTGTTTTTCTTGCCTTCATATCAGATCTGAGAGTTCCATCATGTCATTCAAATCTCTCCGGCCTTGACCCTCCAGCTTTCCCCTAACTCCGATGTCCCTCGTTCCCTCCCTCCCCCGGGCTTTCCCCTCCTACCTCCTGGCTGGTTCAGCGCCCGGTGGATGAAGTCAGCAGCCGTCTGGAAGTGGATGCTCATGTCAAAGGCTGGCGAGTCATGGGCCTCAACACCCAGGTAGCGGATGCCCAACCCCTCGTAGGCCTCGGGCGTGCCTCGCCACCTGCTGTGTGAGGCATTGAGGACGTGGGTGACGCCCAGGCGACGGAGCTCCCGGCGGTTGTTAGCTATGTCCCTGCATTGAGTAGAGGACGAAGGGAGGTTGGGGAAGCTAGGCTCTGGAGCAAGAAGCCCTGGCCTCCACCCTGTCCACTGCCTAGCTAACGTCATTGGCTCCATGCCTCCGCTGAACTTACTGAGGACCCAGAGCAGGGAACCAAGATGGGCAATGACCTGGCATCTCGTCCTTGAGGAAGGGTTGAGGGTACTGGGGAGGTTCTGCCTGGAGAAGAGAAGACTAATGGGGTGGGCGAACGATAGCCGTAATAAAATATTGAGAGTCCTCCAAGGCAGCTTGATCTGTGGGAAGGACTGGCTCTGTACTTCGTGTACAGAAGTATGTACTAACTGTGGAATCCAGGTGAAGAAAGACAGAAACACCTTGGGAGAGAATGACTCTCCTGTCACTGGGGTATTCAAGCAGAGAGAGGAGGTCAACGTGTAGGCATGGATGTGCAAGAGGGGATCTGGACCTCAGCTGGGTTGTTGGACCAGCTCACGTTCAACCTCCCTGCTAACCTTGAGGTGATAGGATTCTGACCCTTGCTCCCACACCTAGCTCCCCTGTTACTTTCTGCTCTCGTTGACACCCAGAATGTTCTCATGTTCTACTAGTTACTCCATGCTCACATGGACCGTGTTTTACGACGTCACCTTTGAGGGTTCCTCTGGCCCATCCCCCTCAGCTTAGTGGCAGACATCTCTCAGGCAACATGGCCATACCTCAGGGCCAACGCCCTGTCCAGTGCAAACTCCTCAAGCACAAGCACTGAACTTGAACCTCCAAGTCCTGGCTCTGCTACTTACAACCCGTGTGACCTTGGGCCAGTCACAACGTCTCTGAGCTTCAGTTTTGCCATCTGTAACCCTGGGGGCAGTGGTACCTACCTCACAAGGCTGTTGTGAAGATTAAGAGAGAAAATGCATGTGAAAAACTCCTTGTAGACTATGAAGCCCTTGAGAGACAGAGAAGTGATGGGCTTCTTCCCTGGATGCTCTTCTCTCCAGGGCCCCCATGGTGCAGAGCCTCTGCATACACTGTGGCTTTGCCTGGTCAATCCCTCGGCTTCCTACCCACTTCCTGGCTCCCGACAGCTGCCCAGGTCCAGCATCACAGCACAATACGTGGAAGGTCAGGGAAGACATCTATGATGTCCGCCACATGGCATCGGCACTCAGTAATTAATTTTGCTAGGTGAGTGATGTTATTACTTGAACAGAGACTATCTGTCCAGAGTTGGGCATATCAATAATCCTGCCCCAACTCCCCCAAACCCTCCAGCCTCCACTCTCTGCCCATGCACCCCTGCCCCTCCCTCCTCAAGCTGGAACCAGCAACACGACTCAGCACCTCCCTGCCACCCTTCTCCTTTCTTCTTGTGCGGGTACACACACACACACACACACACACACACACACACACGTGCAGCCATGACCCCGGGCTGCCGGGTACGTACTGATCTCCGAGGTAGAGGCCCGGCCAGACCTCATCGGCATGGTTACAGGCGGTCTTGCCTGTGTAGAGCAGCCTCTCCAACTCAAAGACATTGAGGAAGGGATGTTGAACATCTGGCATCTCCTCCAGGGCCCCTCTAGTGCGAACAGGAGACCTTGAGCCGCTCCGGGAGAAGCGGGCCATGAAAGTCATGGAGGCCCAGAGCCAGTTACCAGGGCACATCTTAGAGGCGGCTGCAGGGGTGGCTACGCGCCAACGATGGGTCAGTCTCCAGGTAGCTGTTGCTGGAGGAGGGATGGAAGGGAGACACACCTGAGTGGGTCCGGAGCAGCTGCTTCCTGCTTGCCAACTGGGCTGGGCCCTGGGGAGAAGCTTCTCAAGGGAGGGAAGGGAAGTCTGGCCCTGGTGGGGGTGAGGGGGCTCCCCAATTACTCTTTCCTTCAAGCTGCGGCAGCTCCTTTCTGCTCTTTGGCTCAGCCAGGCAAGGAGGTGGGAGTCACATGTCCTTGTTTACGGGGAGAGGGAGCTGCCCAGCTGCTGGCTTTCTGCCCCACCACTCCACCCCCACTCCCAACACATACACAAACACATACACACACGCACACATTTGATATTTGGGTGGCAGTGCCCATTGCGGGAGCTCTTGCCAGCCGGAATCTGGGTTTCATCTGCCTGGGTCCCCAGGCAAAGAGCCCAGGGAGCTGGGAGGGGAATGGGGGGGGGGTGGCTTTGGACCCACCCAGAGAGAATGAGCAGGAAGATAGCAGCAGCTGGGGCCATGACATATGCCAAGCCCTTCTCCTCAGCACCAGAGAGATGGCCTGCTTTAACCCATTCCTGCCCTACCACTGCTTCAGAGTTAAGCCTACTATGGGAAGTGTTATGTTGGGGGCTGGGGTGAGTGGGGAAGAGCAAAAAAGAGAAAGTGTAAGTTTTTGAAAAATACTTGCCGAAGGCATGCACTAATGGAGGAGGGTGCCAAGCTAAGTGCACAACAGCCAATCCACTCTCCTTTGATCAGCATGCAGAAATTATTGATCAAACCTCTTCTCTCCTGTGAGGATTTCTGAGTCAAGCAGGGCTGGAGTAATGTGTCTGGGTGTGTAGGGGAGAGGCGGAGCCTGGGGGCTGAGGAAGGGAAGGGATGAGGGATTCTGCCAGGCCCAGGGGCTCAGAGGCTGAGTTGCTGTTGGAGTCAAGTTACCCTATGCGGGGCATGGGGTTGGCAGTGAGGGGCTTAGCAGGTGTGCCTCATACTCCCTGTGGACAACTGGCCTTTGTAAAAGGCTTGTGCGGAGCCGCAGAGCTGGGAAGAGCCAGCCTTTGAGACGTGTCCTGGGTCCTTCAGGCAGAGAGGCCACTGTGACAAGAGCTCCTCCATCTTCCTCCTCCCCCTCTCCCATCACCAGGGTGGATCGGTCCCAAGGATTCCCTTTCCACTCCCTTCCCGGTCCTCAACCAAAAGTCTAGTATGGAGAGGCCATCTTTGACCTGCACACACTCTGCGGACCCATCCCTCCCTGTGAGCCAGGGCCCCGGCTCTCCTTTCCCCCAGGCCAGGGGAGACTGAGCACTAACAGGTCTTAGGAAGCAGGGGCATTAGGATCAGGGCTGCTGAGGGGAGCCTGGACCTTAGGGCGTTCAGGGAGAGAGATGTTTGCAAAGGCTGGGGCAGAAAGAACACAGAAATATAGCACTCTAGCCACCATCGCCATCACCAACCACCACCACCATCATCATTCCATCATCATCATCATCATCATCATCATCATCATCATCATCATCATCATCTGCCTCATCTTCTCAGGCCTAAAGACCCCACCACTTTATTCCCAAACAACGGTTTCTCGAAATAGGTTCTGCTGCCCCGGTGATTGATGCTAAAGGGTAAAGCGGAAGCGGGAAGGAGCCCAGGTGTAGGGAGGAGCTCTGTGGGACTCTATTTCTCCCTGAGGCTGGCGGAGCCCCATTCCGTCCCGGGGTACACCCCTCGGCCTTCTCCAATCCCATCAGCCGCGTTCAGGCGCCCTGGTGTGCGGCCCCCCTTCCCCCCGGCCGCCGTAGAGGTTGTAACAGGTTCATGGCTGTCGCCCCAGCCCCGGCCAGCACAGACAGCCCGGCGCTGAAGGTGCAGGGAGGGAGCCCTGGGGAGCTCAGCTAGCTCGGCTCCCGCGTACCCCCACCTCCCCGCCCAGCCCAGCCCAGCCGGGAGCCGTGCGCCTCTCGGCGCCGCGGGGGAGGCGACCACCCCCCACAGCCCCTCTACCTGGGTGCGAGCGCGGCGCGGGGTCTCAGTCGCGGAGGCCAATGTCAGGCGCAACCAGCCCCACGGCCATGACTCTCCTGCGGCCGCCGCCGCCGCCGCCCCCGCCCGCTGCCGCTGCCGCTGCCGCTGCGAGACCGGCTGACGGATTAGCCTCTATTTTTAAGCCATGACACACACGTCGAAGTAGGGTTCCTATCGGTGTGTCGCTGACACACAGGGACGCAGCCCGACGCCCAGCGGCCCGAGCGCACACGCAGCGTGGGCTGGCCCGCGGGTGTTTACAGCCCAGACACAGAGCACGCAGCCGAGCAGCCCCGCCTCGCGTGCATGCTCTGGCGGACGTGTGTTTTCGGAGCTGCGCCAATTACAAGGCATTTTGCTTGAGGATGTCATCATACAAGCCGTCCCAGACGGTGCCTTAAACATACTCGCTCCTCCCCAGACAGCATTAGTTAAGTACATAGACACCATGGCGCGCCTTACTTGTCCATTCCTTATTCTCAAGAACACCGTGTCATAAATAACACGGGTCGGGAGCCCTTATTAGTATTTAGTATATACCACGGGTTTCACATCTTTTCCCTCAGTTTATCCTCACCACAGGTCTGGGAGCTAGGTAGCATTATGATTGTCCCCATTTTAGGGAGGAGGAGACTGAGGCCCAGGGAGGTGAAGTCACTTGCCCAGGCCACACGCTAGTTATGGGCTGTGCTGAGTTTCAGACCCTGGCAGTCTGACTCGAAGTTCATGTCCTTAACTGTTCTAAACCAGTGACCCCACACAATGGAGAAGGCACAGTGGATTTCTATCAGGAAGCCACTTCCGGCAGCTCAGCTCTTAAGTGAACGCCTTTCCCTCTTAACTCTGGAAGAAATTCATGCCCCTACCTCTTCACTTGTGCTGCCTTTCAGTGATGTTCAGCTTTACCTGCTTTTCTACTGTAATCACCTTGTCAGTTCTAAGTCAGTCAACACTTCGAAGGTAGGGATGGTGCTGCCGTCCCCAGTCCCCAGGTCATCGTGTGATGGAGGAGGTGGTAGAGGGAATATACATGTCAGCAGAGGATGCTGTTGAAAACCAGGCAGATGTGGACTCCGGGAGAGTTGTCAGCAGGAAGTGGATAAGATCAGGCTGGACATGGTTTCAGATAACACATTAGCAACTGGAGCCAAAATCAGGACTGACTATGTTCCTAGCAGGGGTGGGGGGGGTGAGGCTTTGATCTGCAGTCAGAGAAAGTTCTTATTGGCCAAAGTGACACAGTCCTCAGGTCAGTTTTGTGCTAAAGAGGAGGTTCCATCACAGACTGCCGGCAAGGATTAATTTCCCTCCCTAGCCTTTTCCTTTCTAGAGAAGCAAATTCAGTTCCTTTCCATGCCTTCTTGGCATGATGATTTACATGAAGAAATGAAATCCTCATCATTTAAAACAAAGGGATTGGCCTGGGAAATTTGAAATTTTAATTTGTCGTCCCAAGAAAAGTGAGTAAAAAATGGTCACAAATCAAATCGTGAAAGAACACATATTACTGGACTAACCTCATTTTAAGTGACAGAGTCTTTGGGGTTGGTAGGTTGAGAAGATGTTGTAGGCAAACTTGATCTCAAGCTTTGGCAAGACTTCCGTTTCAACCCTGCATTTCACTTTTCTCAAAAAGCTGGAAAAATATGCTTTAAAGCATGCCATGGACAACATGGGCAGATGTTTACAGGTAACCATAGAAGTTGTCCATGGATCAACATCTTCATTAATGGGCCATTAATGACCAGGGTTCAACCCATAACTCAGGCAGCTTTATATTTTTCTTTGTAGCTAGGAGGTTTATTATGTTTCTAGGTGACATCAAACAAAATTAAGGACGAGAGGGGGAGGGAGGATGGAGGAAAGAGTTAGTGGGGAGAAGGTAATGGTAGGACAGGAGAAGGTTGGAAGCTAATAGAAGCAGCATGTATTGACAATTTACTATCTGTAAATCCCTTGCGCTTTCACATTTATCAGCTCATTTGATCCCACCCAACTTTCAGGTGGGTGTTATTATCATCACTGAATGCATGAGGAGACTGACACTCGGCCAGATGTTAATTCACCCACAGCTAGTCAATGGCAGACCGCGGTCCAAACTCAGGGCTAGCTGATTCGAAACGTTTGTATTTCAAGATGAGGCTGAAGAGTCGTTTCCTTTATAAAACCTTTCTGGATCCACTCTCTTTTGTCTGCTTCCTTGTTTGTGTTGATACAGATATCTATCAAAGGACCCATGAGCTATATGTAGCCTCACTTATTTCTATGTTTCTTTCTTTATTTTTAAATATTATTTATTTATTTGATAGAGAGAGAGCAAGAGAGCAAAAGCAGGGGGAGCAGCAGAGGGAGAGGGAGAAGCAGGCTCTCTGCTGAGCAAGGAGCCCTATGCTGGGACTCCATCCCAGGACCCCGGGGATCACGACCCAAGCAGGAGGCAGATGCCTAACCGGTTGAGCCGCCCAGGTGCCCCTCTATATTTCTTTAAATCTCTGCCCTCCATATTAGAAGGCATGAATGGATACATTATACTGGGATAACTAAGATGGAAAAATGAGGCTACTGAAAAATAGGAATAGGTTTCCAAACCGTCTCAAAAGAAATACCTCACTCCCCCCAAAATATTTAAGTAGGAGAGAGAGGGGGAGGAGTGGGAAAAAAAAACCCAAGAGACACCAACAACCATGTGTTAAATGGTAGTTCTAACCCCTACCATCAACTACAGGCTGGGCACTACTATGCTAAGTGCTTTACATAGATTAGCTAATTTAATCCCATAAAGTAGGTATTATTAATTCCATTTTACAGTTGAGGAAACAGGTTTAGAGTGGGGGCAAATCCACTCTGAAGCGGCCAAGCAGCTAATAAGTAGGATTTGAGCATGGATTTAAACCCAGGACTGTTTTAAACCAAAGCCTGTGCCTCACATCACTGTAGCAAGCAGGCTTACCTAAAGAAAAAGAATAGCAATAGCTAAAATGTTCCAAGTCCTACTGTGTGTCAGGCATTCAGTAGAAATTACATGAAAGAAGGCATGCTCAAGCCTTGAGTCCTGGTCCCTTAGGAGGCGTGGCTCTCCAGGGGCAGGATCCGCTGGGTGTGCGCGCTGGGGACGTCCGCCGCTGCAGGGTACCGCTTTCCCGACACAAGACACAGCAGAAGGACGGGGACCTGGCTTCCTTCCAGCCACCACGCCCCCAGTACCGCCACACCCATCGCCCCGGGGCTGGTCCACCCCGGGCTGGTCCACCCTGACCTCTGCTGCAGGTGTAGACAGCATTTTCACCGGAAGGGTCCAGTAGCAGAAGATAGACAATTGTGACTTTATTTAGCGATGGGAATGTGGAGAGGGGAGGCGGGGCAGAAGACTCGGTGTCCTTTTGAGGGGCCCCGTGTTGATTCTGACTTATTCTTCTAAATCTCCATTCATCCAGTGCCTGTCCTTTGGCTTCTTCCTCCGCCCTGGGTTAACACCTCCTCTCCCCCAGGTCCGCACGTGGGATTGGTGGGCCTGCCCTCTCGGGTGTCCGCCGGGTGTGAGTGAACATTTCCTCTGCCCGGCTCCTGCTGGTTCTGAACTGGGGGTGGGAGGAGGTGCGTGGGTCCTTTTGGTAGAGGGGCAATCCAGCTTTTGCTTCAACTCTAATAACTTCCTCTCCACCTCTCTTGCAATGCAGCATTCTGTAGCCACTTTCCTCCTGGTTTGCCTAAGGGTGGACACATCTTACCGCTGTGAATATTCACTTTCTCCAAGAGCCACACGTTATCGCACCCAGCAGATATTCCTTCCATCAGCCTGACTTTAGAATGAAAATAAACTCGAGAGGCTAGTGCCCTTATAGCAAAAATAAACCAGGGCATTATGTGCAAATAAACAGGATACAAAAGGAATACGCAGCAAATCCCCCTATTAAAAAAAGAAGGGAAGGAAAAGAAAAGCAGGTATAAATACACATTTTGAAAAAGACCCAAAGAAAAGATGCCGAATATTAAAAGAGGTCATCTCTAGACAGAGTGGGATGACAGATAATTTTTATCTTGTGATTTAAAATGTCTACATTTCCCAATTTTTCTACAGTCCATATGACTTCATTTTAAATGTCAGTTCTATGAAATTGGTTGAGATTTCCTTAGTGGCTTTCTGTGTGGCCAATTTTTTAGCAAATATCCCGCACATGCTAGAAGAGGCTATTTAATCTCTGTCTTGGAATTCAAGTTTCTATCTTTCTTTCCGTCCTATATAAGGTTTTAAAATATTCTTGGTTTATCAGCTTTTGAGAGATGGATTAAAATCTCCCAGGTTTATGGGCTTGTTAATTCCTTACTCTAACTGATGAAGGATAGTTGGAAGGCAGGCAGGCAGGGATAACGGGCCCCCACCCTAAGAGGATTTTACACCACCCTGGAAGGAGCCCTCCCATATGCCAGGTGACAAAAACCTGATTGGGTGACAGGCACAGGGAGGGTTAACCATATTAAAACAGCCCACGAACAAGTGCATAAAAACCCCTAGATTTAGAAACTCCGATGGCAATCCCTTTGGGTCCCCTCCCTCCTTGGGAGCTTTGTACCATTACTTTGCTATCGCTCAATAAACCTTGCTTTGCTGCCCACCACACTATCTGGTCTACCTCTTCATTCTTTGAAGTGGCATGACCAAGAATAGCGGGCATCAACGGAGAAAAAAATCCTGCAAGATAACTCTGTCCATTTTTGTTTGAGATAGTACCAAGTTGTGTTATTAGATACATAAAATTCACAGGTTTTTAAAAAAAATTATAACTTTTTTTAGTTGGTAGGTTGTCTCTCTAAGGCTTTAAAAAAAATCTCTGTCTGGAACACATGTATATATATTTTATTTTATTTTATTTTAAGTGTAGCTCTCATAAACTGTTTATAGGTAGTTTTAAAAATCAATCTGTATTTTATTTTTAAAAATTTATTTATTTTAGAGAGGGAGAGAGCACTCAAGCAGGGGGAGGGGCAGAAGCAGAGGGAGAGAACCTCAAGCAGACTCCAGGCTGAGCTCAAGCCAGAGGCAGGACTCGATCTCAGGACCCTGAGATCATGACCTGACCTGAAATCAAGAGTTGGCCGCTAAACTGACTGAGCAACCCAGACGCCCCAATCTGTATTTTAATAGTGATTCTCTTTTTATATTTATTGTGATGACTGATCTATTTAAAATAATTTCTGCCATCTTACTTTTTGTTTTTTTTAAATTTATCATGCTTTCTCTTTCTTCTTGTCTCCTTTTT